ACAGAAGCAACTGAGCTAACCTGAATTGTAATCCTGTATTGCCAACTGTCTGTTGGATATCTAGCTCCCTCAGTTTCCTGTTGACACCTCAAATTCCTTGTTTATAGTATTATAGTATTACCCTTTATGTCTAAGTCATGTATCCATTTTGACTTTATGTTGGTATATGGTGTAAGATGCTGGTTTCTGCCTAGTTTCTGCCAGTACTAGTTTCTGCAAGTAGTTTTGATGATTGTCCAGTTCATTTTACAGAGGGGGAAACTAAGACAAACAGGGTTAAGTGACTTAACCAGGGTCACACAGCTAGTTAGGTAAATGTGGCTTAGATTTGAACTCTGTGTGAGGCTAAATTTGAACTCAGGTCTTCCTGACTCCGGGCCTAGTGCATGATCCACTGAACCACATAGCTGCCCAATAATGATAATACTAGTATTTATATAGTGCTTTAAAGTTTCCAAAGCCCCTAAAAATTTTCAACTAATTTATTCTTATAACAACCCTGAGAGGTAGGTGCTATTGTGTCCCCATTTTACAGATGAAGAAACCAAAGCAGACAGAGGTTAAGTGAAGTTGCTAAGGGTCACACAGCTACTGTCTGAGGTCCTCTGGGTTCCAGGTCCAGCACTCTACTCACTGTACTACCTAACTCCTTAGTTTCTCTTACGTGGACTATTTTAACAATTTCCTAATTATTCTTCCTGCCACAAGATTCTACTCTCTCTAATCTTAGGAAGGTAGTATGTTACAGTAGAAAGTCTGCTGTCTCTAGAGTCAGGATTCACATTCTTTTTCTGGTGGTTATTCCCTGTGTAACCTTAGATAAGCAATTTATTTTCCCTGAATCTGTTTTCTCCCCCTATAAAATGAGAAGATTGAACTAAATGAACTCTGAGATCCCTTCCAGTGGTTAATCTGTGATTCTATGTGTAACTCCAGTCTCAAAGTCAGTGGAGATGGGACTCTTTCCTTATTAGTGAAGACCAATGTTCCCAGCCTGTGTGAAGGGTGGGGAGGAGTTGCTGAGACTCAGTTCTCTTCAAGCATTGAATCATTTTGCTTGCTTCAGGCTTCCAGCTCTGAGAGATAATGTGGATGATGCCAATGTCTCTTCACGTTACTAAAGGAATCTTTGAGGAGCTGGCAGTCTCCATTGTTTCCTATCCCCAGCTTGTTACACTAGAGACTTTGGTGAACATCCTTAAGAGACTTAGGAATCTTTCTCTTGGCTGAGCTAAGTTTCCTCACTCCTAATGAGAGAGCTCCTACAACCTGTATTGTCTGGTATGTTTTCTCAGTTGTATATCTTCTCTGATTTCTATTTTCCTACTGATTTGGATAAATGTTTTTGGTTTTTTTTCTTTCTTGGCTAAGTGTTATATATGTTTATTGTGGAACTGTTATTTGGTGGGAAAAGGTCGAGCCTTAGATATAGAGCTTGGGGTCCTCCTTTTCTCTTCAATAATGAAATAGTGATCAGAAATTAGCTTGAACTTGATCACATCCCCTAAGCTAACAATATTTAAGGGAGCAGATAGATATAATTCTAGCTTGGTACTTCTACACTGTCTGAAGACTACAGGAATGGTCTGTGGCACCAAATTCCTGCTTCCCCTTCTAGAATGAAATGGTCTCTTTTGGAGAAGGGTTAAGGGAGGGGAGAAGAGGCTAGAGATGTTTATTCTACCTCCTTTTGAGTCAGACAAAGATACCTCCATGCTATATGGGGGGTAGCCTTTGAAACACGAGGCCTTGCGAGTCATGTAACCTGCTGCTTCACATGGGCTCTTTGAATGGTAATTTTAAGGTACATGTCTGTGCCACTCTCCTGCTCAGAAACCTTCAGAGTCCCATTCCCTTTAGGATAAAATATAAATTACTTAGTCTGCTATTTAAGACCCACCTCAATCTTTTTGATTTTATATGTAATTTCTCTTCT